AGACGATATAAATTAAAATTCAGCATACGGACAGGAGTAACTTTAAGACTCAGACGGAGAAAATCGGGAAAAAAAAACACTCGCTGCCATATGGAAAATTAATGTAAGATTGAAGGTTATTTTAGAGGACTTTTGAATGTTGGAATTTATTGTAGCTTTTAAAAATGTTCTAAGATAAATGATGATCCTGTGAATTCTTTACCCTATTTAATAAAAAATAAAGCTTATTTCTGTGAGCTTTAATTTCCGTTTAAAGTGCTTCAATTTCCCGTGGGTTCTTTACACCTTTATTCACCTGACTCCTTTCAATACCCTTTATACCCTTTCTGTTGAAAAATTAAAAAAAATTTAATTTATAAACCTGAAAAACACTAGCAACGAAGAGCTCTCCGAATTAAAATTAATGCATTTTTAACCTAGTTATAAGTTTTTTAAACTTTGATTTGTCGAACAATTTGTCACACTAATATATTGATAAATATAATTTCCAAAAAATGAGAACTTTTAAATATCCGATTTCATCGTATAATTTCATTTTAAACTGCAAGTGTATACAAACTTCAGCTTCCCGAAGTAATATACCTTTCTGGATTTTTTCTGTTCAGTTGAACAATCTTAAATACTCCGTTTCCGGTTTAGCTTAACATAGAAAAGTCCTGTGGCCCGATTTCCGGTTTCTCTTATTTGCCCAGCAAAAGTCACGTGGCATTCATAATTCTTAAAATGACGCCATCAGAAATTATGTAGCAATGCTAAGTGCACCCAAACAGATGTCCTTCAAAAGAAAAAAGAAAAAAAAGAATGGGGAAAGGATATACGTGACCAGCATTCCCGTAAGTATGCTAGGATTTTTATTCGGTGGGAAAAGGACCTCACCAAACAATGGGGAATTGATTTCGGGTTTCTTTTTTGGGCAAGTGCAAGCTGATTATGGAATTAAAACATATTTCTGTGCGGGGAACTTAAAACTTTAAGTGGCAAAGGTTGTCGCTGCGCTCTTAGTACGTGACATTCTTTTCCTTTTCGAGTTTATCACGTGACAAGTTTTCCAGTTTTCTGCGCTTATTTTCCGCAGGCACACACAGAGACACACACTCACTCCATCGGATGCTGGAAATGCGTTTCATTTTCGTTGTGGGAAAGGAAAAAATAACTTTTCATGTGTGTGCCAGAGTTGGGGAAAAAGGAAATGAATAAGCAAACGAAACTACAAAGAAGTTAACTACAAAAGCGGACTCCGAAAGTGAACTTGGGTTACAAAGGCGAAGGGATCGTAGCTTGAAGGGCACAGTGGAAAAAAAACGAACGGAGATAAATAACATTGAATGTGAAAACACAGGGAAAAGTGGGAGAAAATAAACAATACGCCTTTGAAATGCTAAACGTGCCGGCAGCGTTCTTCACACATTTCGCAAGGACGCCTCGCAGGACTCGTGCTCATCCTCGTCCTCGTGTATTTTTATTAGCACAGCCACATCGGTTTATCTTGTTTCACTCGATGCCAGAAACATTTATCTTGTCGTATTTATTTTGTAACACATTAATTTCGCTTCGTGTTTCATCTGAAATTGACTTATTTGCATTTGGTTTAATTTGTCCGAACATCAATACCCTTAAAAAAAAAAATAAGGCAAGAGGGATGTTGCTGCTAAAAAAAGGCATAGCCACAGGTGTTGCAAGTGTCAGAATTGTGATTGATGGAAGGCCCACAAAAAATTATGAGATTTATATTCTTAAAACTTGTTTGACATCAGCAGGGGGATGTTTTGATTTTTTACCAATCTGAAGAAAAAGAACAATCAGTTTGGGGCATAAATAAATAAGCAGGAGCTTTCAAATATTTAAGGTTTGATTAGCAATCATCTTGATTTCATTTGGTATTCAATATATAATTAACTCGTGTCTTTGTGTTTTCTATTTAATTTAAGAATTAACAAATGTTATAGCTGAATTATGTATATGTAGTCTTAGCCAATGTTGATTAATTATTTGTTTTTCTTTGTAAAACCTATTATCTGTTCAACTTTAATATTTTCTAAAATGAAATCACTTTCCCCACCACATTGACGTCATAAATGAAAGCCCGAATTGTGTGTTTAGTGGCCAATAAAGGCGATTTAATTTAAGCCACTTAAATGAATAGATATTGGCCACTGCCGCTGTGAACTATAGACGTCAACTAACAAATTCAAAAGCCAAATGAACTGATATTAGCCACACGGCCGCAGTTCGCTTCACGGACCAGCGACGACAGACAAAATGCATTTTTCATAAGGCAGACAGTCAGTTGGGGGGTAAATTTCTGGGAGGATGAGCAACTGGGAGGCTTAGAGGACACACAGGTAGAGTCACCTGTAGACTTCTATCGATGGCCAGAGGCTGCAGCAAATGGCGCAACAATGGCAGGCGGAAAATGTGAAATGGGGAAATGGCCGAAAGCGCAAAATGTCAACCGAAATTGCGATTGCGTTAAAACTCTATAAATACCAGAGTAACATGCAACAGCCACACAAAGAGAGACCGAGAGAGTGAGAGAGATACCTGGCCAAAAAGGACATGCCGATATGGTTGAAACACAATCTAATCCGGTTATTGCATTTTAAATGCGCTACAAGCTCTGTTTTGGCCCCTGGGCGTGGCCTGCCATGATTTCGCATTAAATTATTTGCCAGGCAATTACTGCCGCCTGACATTGAAGGCCATCCCTCCCCGATTTTGGTTATTAATTTCCTCGGATCACATGCGCCGAGAAGTAATGCGCTATCAGGCATCCAGCCAGTCAGCCGGCACTCGGCAAACCAGCTCTTTTCAAATTTTAATGTAATTTAACAGCATATTAAACAGCAGGAGTCTGCGGCTGCCAAACCACAAAGTGTTCTTGTGTGTGTGAGCGAAAGGATTGCGGAAGGAGTGCGAGTCCTGCAACAGTTGTTGGTCCCACGAGCAGCACTATTTTAGTGGGACAAACTTGCAGATGAAGATAGCAGATGTTTCTGGCTGAGGGTTTCTAAGGTGAGTGCACAGGGAAAAAATAATATGATTCTTACACTCTAGTTTATAGTTGAGATAATTTGTAGCATGCAAGATTATAGCTTTAAAAACACAATTTTAAAAGAGATATTCTGACTAGAATGTCCATACTTATACAATAATATATATTAAGCAACAACGTGTTTCCCTTAGGTTGCTAGTTTCTACATTTATAATGGTTAATGAGTCCATTTATTATATAATTTAAAATATTTCTTTTTAAGTAAAATATTTCTCCAACTATCCCCTGAATAAGGCCAAGTGCCAATGGCAGTTTTCTTATCCTGTGTAAGGACATTCATGAACTGGCAGAATGGCTAATCAATTGCGCGCACATTGAACACAAATCAAATTGCAAACTTGCCGCATCCAATGATTTTAGCTGCAAAAAAGAACTTTTCCAGCTTTCCCCGACTGCTGACTGCTGACTTTCCTTTAGCTTCATCCTGTTTGAGATCAACTTTTGCTCAATTTGATTTTTCAAACAAAACGGCAAAGAACTTTTTGCCTTTTACCTGCCCCTTTTGTGTGCGTTGTCTACTTTTGCTTGTCGTTAAACAAACTTATCCAATAAAACTTTTGTCAACATTGATTTAAGGCTAAAGAGGGTGCATATTATCGGAAAATGTGGGTGTGTAGGGATTGGAAAATCATTTGGCATTTCGTTTTGCTTTTAGCATAAGTCGGAAATGTTGAGCTTGAAAGAAAGGATATCATGGAAGCTCCTCTTCTAGGGTCTTGAAAGTATACCTAACATTCTAGGAACTACCAAATATTATATCCTTAAACTGCCTGAACCTATTACCTGGCAGAAACACCTGGAAAACCAAGAGTAAACATCCACCTGACCCAACACCTTCTCTTACTGCTTATAATGTGAGCTTAAGTCAGTTTTTCGCCTTTTCCTCGGACAAACAAACGGAAAGTGTTCGGTAGGAGTGCCGCATAAGTATGCTGCAGGACGAAGTTTCCCATTGCAACGTGATATCCTTGCTGCTTCTGTGGAAATGCATTTACAGTTAGCTTCCCTTTTTATCCACTTCTACTTAAGACTTTAATAGTTGCAAAAGTTTCCTGCGAGGCGGACTTAAGTAGCTCTTGTTCGCATTTCTTCGAGGCGATGCTTAAAATAACTGTAAAACTGCCAACATAAATCTGGCCACAACATCCTTTACCGTTTTGCAACACACCATTCAGGAGTCAATAGGAGAGTCTGGTAAGGATTTAAAGAGGACAGCGGCCGGATGAATCTCAGCAAGATTAAAAAGTTCAGCAGACGGGCAACAAATTGACGCGTATCTTTTGCATATTGAATAAAAGTCAAACTGTGTTTGGCATATTAAGCGGGGAAAACGTTCGAGAAATCGAAAGCAATTCCCAAACCACCCAAAAAAATCTCACCCCAGTCTCAAGGAGAAAAGTGATTTTTCTTGTTGGACTTACCGGCTTATCGAGGCAGCAATTTTCAATTGCAGAATCAGCGATTTAAACCAATAAGTTTTGAAGAGGAAAGTTGTCTCCATTTATAACAAATGCTGCAAGAAATTTAAATTCAAACTTTAGTTCATTGATTACATATTTAAACTTATTTTGGACAAGTATTATTAAGCTCTTAATTTTCTTATTTACTAGCTTATTTTTCCATATTTGCCCCACTTTGTCTGGCTTAATTCTATTGACATTTAATTATTCACAATATTATGGCAAAAGTCGGCAATTGAAAATATTTTAAATCAATATTTTCCCGCTTTTCGCAGTAATTCAAGCTTATGAAGGGAGCATTGAACAGGCCGAAACCACAATATTTGGTCAAAATGTGAATGGAAAGGATGGAGTTTCCAACGAGGTGAGCTCTAGGAGTTTGCAATTAAAAGTTTAAACTTCTACAAGTATATATAAATATAATTCTATTTAAGACTACTGAAATATTTAAATTCTAAGATCCAAGTAGCCTGGTCTACTACTGCTAAGCTCTGTGAGGTTTTCTCGTCTATTCATTCAGTTTAAGCAAAAGTATTGAACAGAAATCATCAGTATTTTGTATCCAAATTATAATTTTTTTAGAAACCGTTTTTTTTTTACTGTTACCTTAAGTATCTTACAAACCAAAAGGAAATCCCACTATTGATAATGGCCACGGTATGCGATATGGTTTTCCAGCTGCCAATGGCCCTTCTCTATGGGCTCTTTTTCCCTTTGGATGTAGGGATTCCTCCGATTCGGATTTACACATGGTAAGCATTTGATATTACATCTATCTTTGACTCTTGAATAATGATTTCTTTCTTTACAGAACACAAAATTCGAAACACATTAGAAGAAATGTACTGACTAAGGACCACAAACGGGGATTTTTGGTTCGACTTGTAGTCAAGTTTAGCCGAAATCTAAAATAATTATACAATACAATATTTCAATAATTAAATACACGCATGCCGATGCGAAAGCCTCAGAAAAAAACCATAACTTTATCGAATGTTTCATTTAGACAGGCCAAATTTACAAGTGGTCAGTGGCTGTGACGCTAATGAGGCAAACGCAATGCAAATTTATAGCCCTTTTTTGTGTCAGCCACGCCTCCCCTGGAAAATGTTTGGTGGCTTAAGGATTAGCATCATTACGCGCAGTTTATTTGCTTTTACACGGAATGGTGGGGCGGGGTGCCTTGGTGGAGAGTTGAGTTTCATGTAATTGCTTTTAATTTCCATGCATTTATAATTCAACATTCTCGCGGCCTTATGAAAAGCTCATTTGGTTATGAGTGTCCTGGGTCCTTGAGCTCCCCGTGTTTCGTGTCCTGTCTGCCTTGAAGTGGTAATGAGCTGGAGGCTGGCATAATTATGCAAATTTTTAATGAGTGTGAAAATTACACAATTTCGTGCAACAAGTGTTCGCGTCTTGGTCCTTTGAAGGACCAGCACAGACTCCCGCTGAAATGGGCGGCTAATTCCATTTGACCCAGAAGCCCCAGAGTAATCCATTTACATGGCTTCGAATACCTCTTCGTCAGTCTCCTGCCCTGAATTCCCTACATAATCCTGAGCTCTGAGCTGAGTTGACTGCTGGCATTCTCCGGTCTTTAGATTTATACAGATTTCGTCATACAAAACATGAATTTGCACTTTACACACATGTGTATTTGTGTGTGGAGAATGACTGAAAGAGAGTGTGGCCAAAGCCGATTTGATGCCATTCAACTGAAGTGGCTCTTTAGCATTACATTTAAGCCCTTTGACCATGTTCCATGAGTGGCGCTAGATTTAAACCCCATTTTAGTCACAAGAAAAGCAATTAACACATTAACTTGGAGAGAAATATGAGCTCAAAAGTGTATATATTTTTAGGGGATTTGAAAAGATTTAATATAAATACTTGAAGATTAAACTTATTCTATTTTTGATATAAATAAGTCATGCCAAACTGTTAACGCCAAGTAATCCACAAATAAGAATTAAAAATAATCATGATATGATGATAATTTTAATGAATAAATATTATATTACCAGTAAATAACAACATACCAATTCTGTCTTAAATTCAATAAGAAACCTATAACAAATATAGATCTTTAATGCTTTCTAAAAATAACTAGATTCATATATGTTGTACCTCTGACTTTATAATCAACTCTTTATAAAACTATTTTCACAATAATAGTACAATTTATAGTACAAAGTAAATGTACATTTAAGAGGAATTTTCATTAGATATGATAAATTGACATATTTTATGTGATAAACCAATTCATCACTATATATTTTTGTAAAAATATTAAAAGAAAAAACAATTTGATATGGTGTATGCCCGCTTATGGTAACTGTCCTTTTCAATTAGTCCTTGTGCGCCAGGACCTCAACCCCCATACATTCCCTACTGGTGTCCAAATACAGATTTTTAAGCCTTGCGGCAGCTTTGCTCGAAACAGATTGTAAACAAATAAATGCCGCTGGCAGAGCAGATACAGATACAGATACTGCTACAGATACAGATACAGATACAGATACAGATTCAGTGGTCAGTGGCGGTGGCCAACTCCAACTCAGATGCAGATACAGATGCAGATTCTGGCCTGAAATGCCGCTGGCTCGTTGTCACTGCATTGCTGCAGTTGCAGGTTGCAAGTTGCAGGTTGCAGGCTGCCAGAGTTGCAGCACTCATTCAATATTTCATTTTGCACACATTTCACTCTACGTGTGCGGTGTGTGTGGAAAGTCTACCGAAACCTTTTTCGCACTTAAGTGGTTAAATTGGCCGTGATAAATTGTTGCCGAGTCAAAGTTGTTGGCGCTGCGGGCCACCTCAAGTCACATGTGGTCCTGGAGTGGGCGGTAAAGTGCGTGATAAGCCCCACAAGGACGTCGCAGAGAAGGTGGGGAAGGATGACACCCTCTCATCTGCTTATTCATTGAGTGCCTGCCGCTGACAGTAATCATAACGCAGTCATCAGCTCGCATTATTACAGACGCCTGACATATGACATCTGGGATATGACGATGGGATTGGGGACCAAGGAAAAGTACTGTGGAGCTATTAATATGCTAGTGTGTATGGAGACTCACACAGAGAGAAAAGCTAACAGAGTCAGATTAACATTTAACAGTAGGAAGAATCATAAACTTATTCCTTTCAACTTTAAAATAAATGTCACATAATTATTTCTCTCTGTGTTACCATAGTTCCTCTCAATCCCAAGCTCATAATGGGTGATGCCTAATGGGTGGCGGTTAATGGGTTGTTCGGGTAGTTAGGGGGTGGCCGTTAGCTTCTTGTGGTTAAGGGTTGGTTAACCGCTGGTTAATGCGCACATAGGACGTTCCTGAGACTGATGGCAACCTTTTAGCTGCAGTATCCAAATTAAATGTCTAGCCTAGAGTGCTGTTCGTCTTGATTAGCAGCTCTGCGAGTGAGGAATGATCCACCTTAAAGTTTTTCCAGCTAGTAAGCAAATTTTCGCGCTTATCACAACACTCACATCGGACAATCTTGATGTGCATATCACTTTTATGGGCAATTCATGCAAAATGCTTCCGGTTGCCAACGACAGCAAGGAAAAAAGACAACAACAATGCCGCCATTCACAATGGCGAGAAATAGTCAGACTTAGATGCCTTTAGAGATACCCTTTATAATTTTGATATATATATTCAGACAAGGATATAGGTAAAATTTTAATAATTTCCATTATGCTCACTGTCACAAAATATTATTTTGAGTTTACAATATTTTTTTTTCCTTTTTCGATGTGACCTAACTTTTCTTTCTTGCATTCCAATTTTTTCCTGTCCTTAGTCCTTTTAGTTCTTACAGCACATATCCTTTACTCCTGTTGTCCTTTGCTTTCCTAGTGTTTGTGGCTCGCTTCTTGCTCTAACTTGGCGGCTGACCGACAGCATTTGCAATTTATAGGAAAATGTACAGCGCGTTTCAAAATAAAAGAGATATTTTGTATATATAAACAAGCAAATATTTAACATACATATTATATATCTTATATACAATTAGTTTTTTGACATGAAAGTCTTGAATTATTTCTTATTATTCTCACTTAAGAATTTCAAGTGCTCTTTCTTAAAATAATATTTTTTTCTTTTCCGATACGATCCTATATATATCAACTTGGGCCGAAACTTTGTTTCTTTTCTTGTTATTTATTAAAATTTCAGTCCTTTGATCTGAGCTCATATCAAAGCCCTTAAAAAACAGTTTTTCTTCCTGAAACGTACTGTACCATGCATGTGTCTGTATCTAACTATCTGCCTCTTTTTTTTGCAAAACTTGTATCTGCAGCCGAGGCAAACAATGGGAATGTAAATT